AAAAGATTTTTTTTTTTTCTTTTTTCTATCTTTTTTAAATATAAAAAACATTTATTAACTATAAAATATAAAATAATTAATTATATAAAATTTATATATATAGAAAAAATATTTCATAATTATAAAATACATGTATAAAAATATCAAATTTATTATATTATTATTATTATAATTTCTCATATTATAATAAGAGCAATATTTTATTCCACTGTTAATATCGTTCACGTCATCATAAAGATTTAAATTTAAAATAATATGTATTATATTATATAAATTTTTTTTTAATAATAATAATTATATATAAACAACAATTTTTCTTTTTTTTTTAAATAAAGTAATTAATCAAAACAGAAATTTCAATTTATTGTTTGTAAACTTTCTAATAGCAAGTATATCTATTTTTTTTAAGTTAAAAAAAAAAAAATATATTGATGTATTATTTATTAACTTTATTTGTATTAAGCGGCAAGATTTGTATGGTGAATAAAATTTATAAAAATTATTAAAAATTGTTACAAAACATGGGCAAAATGGACTGAGACTAAGAGATGGAGAAATTCTATTATTATTATATTTTGAAATCTTGTTTTCCTCTGCGTGATTGAATGTTTATATAAGAAGTCTTAAATTAAAAGAAAAAAAAAATTTTATTTACAAATTATTTATCCATAGATATAAAGGGTTTTCCTTTTTTTTTATTTTCTTTAAAATTGTGTTAAATAAAATCATCACAAGGGTTCGTTTTTCTAAAAGGATTTGAAATTTGTAACTTTTGGGAGCTTCATCAGCGGGTGTTTTTAACAACAAATGCACTTTGTGTCTATATTATTATTATTTTTATTATTATTATTATATTTTCATTAGGAAGCAAAGGTTTTTATTAGAATTTTTAAAATTTAAATAAAATAATTATGTTAAAAAGAAATCTTATTAAATACAACTAAATAGAAAACTTAAAATTATTTTATTGCATTTTATTTTATTGGAAAAGAAAAACAAAAAGAGCTAAATAAAGGAAGAGCAATTTATCATATATTCAGCTGGATTGGAATTGGACTTTTCAATACCCACCACCTAAACAAATGGGATTTACATGCACGAGTATTGTATTGTACAGTCCGATTCATTTTGAAGCAGTTCGAAACTTAAAATACTTCAAGTACTTGCTTCACTTATTCGATTATAATCGATGGATCGACACTTTCATGATAATCAAGTATGTGCGCATCTGCTTGATCTGGTTTACCTATTGCGTACGTGAACATTATGTACGGCTGTTACCGAATCGTTTACACCTGTCACCGTTATTCCGAGAGAGACCGAAAAAACTAAATTTTCATACTCTATAATATCGAGTGGGCGTGGCTGGTTTTTATCTATTTTTGTAGAATAATAGTGGAAGTTTATATGTTGTGTCCGAAGCACATGTCGAAATTTTTGCGAGCACAAGTACCACAGTAATTAAGAGACAAGTCGAAAAAGTGATTGGCAAACATGTATATGACGGTCCAGATTTCATATTAATCATTAATATGTAAGCTTTATAGAGTTTCTGAAGCTCCTCTCCAAATGCTGCAAAGCTTTTCAACATTTCAGCCTGATTTATTGGAATTTCACGTGATTTATTGGTATGACCAGAGAGGACTCCGTTAAGTACAGAAAAAACTTTATATTTAACTTGACGGCTGCCCCCTACACAGACGTGTAGATTTTCTTAATTTACAGCATGGAGGGTTTTTATAAAAAATTTTCGTCAAAATTTAGTGTCAACTTTTCAAAAATATTCGCAAAGAGGACTTAGCAGAGGATTCTAAAGCGAATCGTTGCAGGATAGGTTGCGGAAATAGCTGACGTCAACACTTAGTACGGGGTTTCAAGGAGGTCATGGTAAACCGAGTGATTGAAAAACTTGTCTCCGATTAAATGCGGCCTATAATGGACGTTTTCGCCAGCAACAGCTACTTCGGCGATGGAGATATACGACGTAACAGTGCTTGATATTTACATAGAAGCGAATAATTTCCGTCAGTTCTTCAACTTAAGAATATGAGCTTGAGAAAATTGAAAGCAATAGCGTATACAGCTCCCTAAGCAAAGCCATAATAATAAGCGGTGAATAAAAGCTTCTCTACGGAATTAGATTTCCCCGTCTCCGTCTAAACTTGAGTAAGTGCAACGTAAAAAAAAAATCACAATGATTGAAATCACTTCCTTTTGCTATATGATAATTACATGTAGTTAACCATATTGCGCACTTATAAAATTATTTAATAAAAAAACTTCTGCTTTGAAATAAAAAGTTGATTAAAAAGCATTGATTTCAAAATTTCAAAATGTTCGTTATTATTGAAATAAACCGACTCAGGGATCGAAGAAGTGTTCTGAAGAATTTTTATATATAATGTGTAAAATGATTTGTATAGACTAAGTGTGGGTCTATTTTTAAAAGAGATATACCTCTTCTATGGGAGGAAGAAAGTCTCTTCTAAGATTTGTAATAAACTTTTATGGGTAAAAGAATTCTTCTCCATTATTTGAAAGATTATTGTGCAGTAGTAGTAGTTATAGTAGTAGTAATAGTAGATTTCCGTGTGTGTGTGCAGTAGTTGTTAAAAGATTTCCAAAGTAATTTTATGGTAGTAATAGTAGTAGAATAAGTATTAGTGCATTTTTGCAGAAGTTGAAACACATCTACAGTAAAAGGCTGCTAGAGTATAAAGTATGTCGTCTACAGCAATCAAGAGGCCTCTACTATTGCAATAAGTGAAGACCTTCTTCCGTAATATGTCAAAAGCTTCTTCGTCTACAAATAAAAGGCCTTACTTCCGGTACTAAAGAACTTACACTGCGACAGAAAAAATAGTTATTTATTTATTTATGAAGTTATAAATAAACAAATAAATATATATACTTACATATACTTTCACTTCCCTCTGAAATAAGCAACTTCAACTAGCAAATACGAAAGGCTATCTCCAAAAAAACATGAGGGGCTTTCTTTAATGGATGAAATATTCCTGTTACAGTAAAGGATTTTTTCTGCGATTATTGTTAACGAGCTTTCCTCCAAAGCAATTAAAAGACTTATGTAACCATTTTAATTTTCTGAATTGGAAGGCCAAGGCTATCACCATGGGTAGTACTCTTTCACAACAGCTTTTTTGTGCCAAAAAAAAAAACGCTTAACGGAGGCCTTTTCTTGCAACATATAAGAGATTATTAGGAACACAGACTTTAGACGAAAGACTTTTGCCAAAGGGATTTACACGCTTCTCCGGTCATAAAAAAAGTGTCTGTTGCAATAGTTGAAAAACTTCATTAATAGAAAGAAATCTCTGTGCTGTCACTACTGCTAATGCTGTAGGAAATGTAATTTCTCCGGAGCAGATAAAAAGCTTTTACTGCTATAAGGTTCTTTTGAAATGGAATACTTCCTCTACCATAGGGTATGTAGAAGATATTATTCAAATTTTTTTTTTTTTAATGATCACTCAGGGGATGTCTTCTATGTGTGTAGCACTGCGGTCCAGAAAGAAGAAAAAATGAAGAAAGGGAATAATACGAGGATGTAGTCGCAGCCTAAGGAACTTGGGACCAATCGGTAAATGTTATGCCTTTAGTGACCGAGCAGTCATTACGACTACAACCAAAGTAAACTCTACTGGACTCAGATACGAATTCGTGAATACTGACTTGTTTGACGCGATTTTTATTTCATCGATTACTACTAAGACTACTTTTATAATAGATAGAAAATTTCGCTAGCATAGGTAGAATACATGGTTCAAATAACTAAAAAAATTCTCTTACAATACATACGAAATTTCACTGCGCTCTTTGAAGAAAAGTATTTTTCTAGCACTAGAGGGAAATAATTTCATCTAAAATAGATAAGTAGTCTAAGGTAAAACGGTTTTAATACAATGGAAAATGAGTTTCTACTCTACAATAGATTTTTCCTATAGTTAAACTGCGAAGAGCTTCCCCATAAGAAACAAACGTTTGCTAAAAGCGTTGCTTTAAAAAATCTTTATATTCAATTAGGAATTGTTTACAAGACATCTTCGAAAATAAACGAATAAAAAACGCAGGCAAACTGTCTGTAGCGGTGAACATACAGAACTACTATCGCAGACATTGAATTCAAATTAGGCGATCTGTTTGTTACGAAACGGACGTACTAAGCTTGTATCCTTTGGTGGTGGGCTTTTACAACGATTCACCCTAAGGCGAATAGACTTTTTTGCTTATTTGTTTAGTTATACTATTGGCACTTATGGAAGGGGAGAATGAACTTGAATGTAAGGTTTCAAAATCGTTTTGTAGTTTTAAAAATCTCTCTCAAAAAGAGTAAAACGTCGTCGCTCTGTTAACCGTAATTTGTTGTTCTTTTGAGCATGTTTTGTTTTTGTAGATAAAAAAAAAAAAGCGAAAAAATTTAATCTTATAACTACTTTCTAAGTTATTAATATTTTAATTATAAATTTTTTTCAATAGATTTAAATTAAGTACATATATGAAAAAGTATTTGTTTTTAATTTGCTGTCATTTCCTTTTCACATTTAATGCATTTATTAATTATTTATTGAATTTTTTTTGCTCTACATACATATATATATATATGTATATTGTATGCATATTATATATGTAAATGTCTCCATTATATATGGTTAATTTGTGCATAATATTGTTGGTAATTATCATTTAGAAAAAATATATATATATATTATTAAAATATGTCTTCAACGTTAAGGTCATCGATATAAGTGGGCTTTTAAAGGCGTTAATAGCAAAAAAAAAAAAAATAAAAATAAAAAAAAAAAAAATAAAATAAAAATTGTACATTTACTTATGATATTTTGTGTTTTAAAATTTAAAAAAAAAATCTCTTTTATTCGATCATATTTTCTCTCTTTTCCTCTACTTCACCGTATTATTTACATAAAATATTAAAAAAAAAAAAACTTTAAATTTAAATTTCATTAAAAATATATATAAATTAATTTATTGTAACTGGTTTGTTTTTTCTTTTCTTTTTCATTTGTTTAAAGAGCCGAGTATTCTCTGTTACTGTTACTTTTTATCCAATAACTTTCAGTGTTCAGTTTCTTCCTGTAAAAAGATATCATATAATTCGTCCGTGATTTGTAGCACTTCCAACACAAATATATCTTCGTTGCAATAATAAGAAATCATGTCATCATCCATTTTCGCTTTAATCCTGTAAACAACAGCAAAAAAGAAAAACGAAAACGAAAATAGAAGAAAAAATCAAAAAAAAAAGTAAAAAACAGAGAAAAGATTTTTTAAATTTAATTTTTCACAAACTTAAGCAATTTAAAAAAAAAAAACACAATTATTTTTTTTTCTTAGACATTTCTTAACAGAGAGAAAATCGTGTAAAGTTGATGATGATCGTGTGTTTCGAAATGATAATGAAGCAGCCATCAGTAGTAACCTCTTTGCCCTTCCTTAGGTTTTCTTTTTTCGTTTTGTTTTTAGTAAATATCAAAGCGATTCATTTTAATATAAAATAAATACAAAATCATTATTAGATACATCTAACTACTTTTCTTACCCTTATAACCCACTGTGTGCGTGTTTTTTCGTTTCGTTTCATTTTATTTTATTTATTTATTTTTTTTTTGGTTGTTTTTTAATGTTTGTTATGGGAGTTAGCTGTGTTGTAACCCAGTTAGTGGTGTTGATTATTTTTGTCAGTAGTTAAACAGAGAGCGAGATAGGGAGAGAAAGATACAGAAAGAGAGCGAGCGATCGAAAAAGCGGAAAAGAGAAAGAACGATAGTTTGATAGAGATAGAAAGACTTACCCTTTTTTATTTTTTTTGTATACATTATTTATACTCGTTGTGGAGATTTTGTATTTACTTTCAATCTGGAATTGAGAAAATGAGAAAACAAAAATACTTATGATGCGGTTTGGTTTGAGTTTTTCAGAGTAATTGTTTTTTACGGTGTAAAAGTGTGTTCAATGTTCTACGATTTAAAAAAAAGAAGAAAAATCGGTAATTGATTTTGCTTTTCTTTACAAAACAAAAAACTCATACTTTTATGATATACGAAAAAAATACAAAGAAAGAGAGAGAGAGAGAGAGAGAGAGAGGCAGATTTTATTTAGGTTTTTATTTTGCAAATCCTATATATCAATCCTATATATCAAATCGGGTCTAACATTGAAGTTCAGTGTGCGTAACGCCTAGAAGGTCTCTTCGATCAAAAGACTGTTGGTGACGGTAGCTATTGAATCATGTCCCGTTCACTGGTCCTTTTGACGAAATGATAGTTGGAAGCCTAGAAAGTTTTTTTACAACAACAATAAACATGGCCTCCAATATTTATATTACCATTGCCGTCAAGTGGAATTTGGAGATTAGCCTAAAAGTTTATACCATAGCTGCCAAGAGAAATCTACTGCTTGTATCGTTCCTAGTTTACGTAACGATTCAGAAAATTCTACCATCTATTAGGGTAATCTAAAAATCATATAAATATATAGCCTGGAACATAATCCGACAAATTATAGCTTTACCGAAAATTGAGGGCAAGATATGTCCGATCACATATTAATGTGACCTCTGAAGTAGGCTGTTGTTGCAGGTAGGCAGATTTTTTTACAAACATATAACTTTTCCTAAAGCCGCCATCAAATGTTTTTTTTATTAAGTAAAAAATTCGAGTAGCGACACATGGCAAAGAAGTACGAAATTTACTATATCCGCTATACCGACCGTTGTAAGTTAATTGACACAGGTAAAATTTCAAATGAAACTGTCGGTTTATTGATACCAGGTCACCCACGTAAGAATTGTACTATTTTTGTAACTATCGCCATGGGTAGGTAACACGTGGCAAAGAAATATTTATCCCGGAGCCCGTATAAGATATAAATTTCCGAATGAATAGCACTATTCTTTCAGGCTTATTAATCTATTGTACTACTGCGAACCAAAAGCATCGTCTAGAAGAATTAATTTTTGTCCTTAATCTCGTTGGGTTAGGTTTGATCATTTTTCCCGTTCTCGGTATTATTTTACAGATGCACGTTTTGAATTTGTTTTTTGGTGACATAAGAGATACTTTGAACCTTTCAGAATATTCCGAGGAAGAAAATCCTTAACTGGCAGAAATTTTTTCTTCGACTTTTTTCTTCCCAGGCTTGTTTAAAATAACCTACTGAATCTGAATCTGAATAATCTGAAGTTTCGGTTTTTGATTTCCAATTTCTCGAATAAACTAAAAGGTTTAGGAAGTAGGTAGAAAAAAAAGGAAGCATTCAAAAGTCTCCCTAAATTATTTTTATTTAGAAACGTTTCCATTAATAGAGCTTAGTCGCGACAGCCTTTGGATAAATATGACGCTGAGAATGATTCAAAAATTGTCACAGCTTTTGTCAACAAATCAAAAGTTTGGGATGGAAGTTTCGATATTTATTGAGTGATTCATACATTTTTGTGCTCTTTTCTCTACCATCTCCAGTATGTAAAATCTAAAACTAGCATTTCTGTCTTCGGTATATAAAGCTAAAGCGGAGCCTTCTAGCAAAAAATCCTCGAGGGAAGAAAGTGTATCCTATTTTCCATAACTTAATTTAACCGTTTTGTTATTAATAAAAGAGTGGCATTTTTGGACAAAATATTCAACTTTTTCATTCCAATTTTCCGCAATTATAGAAGAATTGCAATGAATGCCGGTAATTGTAGGCGTAAATAGTGAAAATTTTTTTTTTTTTTATTCAAAATTCCGCCGAAAAATGTTTGGATCGTAACAAATCTTAAATTGAAAATAGCTTGTGAAACAAACTACGGTGTTGCCATTTTTGAACATTTTTTTAAAACATAGTTTTCTTTAATAGTTAAGTGTACGCTTAATAACTTCCTTGGATATTATTTTGTCGCATTTCCTTCCATCCCAAAAGAATTGCCGTTCAAAGAGGCCAATCTTACGTTGTTATAATGGCTTCCCGGCTTCTCTTCTTCAAATAAACCTCTGTGTTAAATTCGAATGTCTGTTAAATCGGATTAAAGATTAGCTCATAATTACAAAAAAGTAATTAGGATTCTTAGTTGGTGCGGCTACAAACAGAACGCTGCCAAATCATGAAAAATCGTGGTGCCGTGTGCGATTTGTACGATACGATACGCGGTCAATATATTGAAGCAACGGATTTCCGCTTTATCTTACAATGGTACACCATGCATTAGTTGATACCGGAAAAGCAAGGGATTAAATAAGGCCGATTTCTTTCTCTTTGAAAATAGAAGGGACTGAAAATTTTGAAATGATTAAAATTCTTTGCATAAAAATATCTTGAAACGTTGAAAATTCATAAGGAAATTGAGAAATTCTCGTTTTTCAAATACAACGAAAGAGGACTGAATGACTGCGAATTTGTTTGGGGGCAACGGCGCGAGGTCCTGGTCGTTGACTATGACTGGATGAAAGTACTGAATAAAATATGTAGTTTTAACCTAGTGTCAGTATGTATGTCAGGACGTCGTACATAACTGTTTCACTTTGAATCAAGTAGAGCGTTGAAAATCAAGAATTAGGAAGAAAAGTGTTGATTCTTTTGGAATCGGTAAGGCAATAATAAGAGGGCATATTAAGTGCGTAACTAGCTTTCCAAAAAAAATTTGAAGAAAAATATGAAAATTGATTTGTTCAAAGTATTTTTCATTCCTGATGGAATATTAAGTTCTTGCGTTTTCAGTCCGTGCACAAAAAATCCATTTTTTTGGTTCTTGTCAGGCGAAGCCATGCTCGAGCTTATCGATTGTAACCAAGATTAACGTCTTCCTACAATAGTAGAGGGAAGGCAATATTCTAGGTTAGTGCTGCTAACGTTACGTAACGGCGCGTTGCGCTTTATAAAACCGAGATTGTGTGATTGTTGCATTCATTTGATTGGAAAATCTATAATATGCTGCACTCAATCGACCCTAGCAAATTGGGCCAACAAGTATATTCGGTTTCATCGTCGACGTCAACGGTTCGTGTACGTGCTGTCAACATTATTGAAGTTTTCCATACCATAAGGCGTCCATTGCCCATTACCCGCTATGACTAAGTAGCACTGCTCCCCTAATTAAGCAGAAAAAGGTAGGTTTTTGCAAGCGAAGTTTTTTTGCACAAAACACGACCACGACTCCATTATTGAAAAAGATATTTTTCACAACTTCTCTCATACATGTTCACTACAATAGTCCTTAGTGCCCCTAGTGTGAAATTCAGAGAAATTTAGTTACACTCCTAGTACTTCAAAATTCCGAACGAGTTTAATTAGGTGTGAAAGTGTCCGATTGACTAAAGTAACAGAACATTCCCAAGTGAATGAAGATGCGCGCGGCCTGGCCAAGCCGAAGAAGCTAAACTACACGTTGCTTAGTGCATTTACTATATTGTGGTTATGTTTAACCGCACTATCCTTTCTTGGTATAATATTTCTGTAGCATTATTGTTTCCTCTCGTAATGTTGCCCCCAAGTTGCACTTGCACGAATACTACTTAATTTTTTTTTTACTATTACCATGCTTTCATGAATAAGAAATATCTCTTGAGTAACTGTGTGAAAAAAAAAGGTAAAAGGTCGAGGTCGTATTCAAAGCTTGAGGCGTGTTTTTAAAAAGGTATGTGTTTCTTTATATAATAGAAAAGTTTTGTAGAAAATTTATTATATTTTACAACTTTTTGGAAAAGCTTCGTTAAAGTATTTTTTAAAGAAGAGGCTGTAATTGATTCCATGTCTTTGATAGGTTTACTGGCCCATCGAGCCTTAAGTGTTTGTAGTCGATTGAGTTTTATTAGCGGACAGTCGGTAGGTGAATCGACGGCTGTTCGAGCATTGTTGAATTCATTCAGAAGTTCAAATTGGTCAAAAAGATGTACACTCTATGGATTGCGCAAAATATTGTTGGTACTACAACTGGAAGGAAGGGAAAGCTGCAATCTTATGATTGCTTAATATAGAAGCCACGAAATTAGGTGCTAAAATGTCCCCTTTGGGGGTCAGTCTTGGCCATCAGCATTCGACTTTAAGCCATTTTAAAATCGAGCGTACTGTTACCCATCTGTTTGCCAGATTGTTGCTGTTACTGTTACGATTGAAATTTCATTTCAAGATAGGCAAACCTAGAAGGATGTCACCAAACGCATACATTTTGTGTCGAATTTTGTCATACCATGTTCGAAGTTGATACTGAGTTATCCACACCCTAATTTAAAAGCGGTCGACACAAAAGTGATTGGCGTTAACACCTGTCAAAACCGTTCAACAATATGAAACTATAAACGTCCCCTTCGAACAAATAATCTGCAATGTTTATATTCTTGTTTCAGGTGATACGGCGGTATTCTGAAAGTACCTAACGTACCGACGTGACGTTTAGAAGGCGTTTGTTAGTTGAAAAAAAACTTCCATTGTCGAAAGTAGACGCTTTAATTTTGGATTGCGTTGTTTGATATTTGTCTCACAAAATCCCCAGTGATTTCGTAATGGTGCAAGAATCTGGCCGTTGTTTGTGATAAAAGACTTATTTGAAAGGTCTCAATCCGACCAATATCAAAGCTGACCTAGATCCCTGCTTAAAGGAAACTATTTCTTTTTTTTTTGTATAAATAATTATTGCTTGGCAAAGTTTGCCCATAATAGAGGAAAAAGTCGTAAATCATGAGAATGCTTCAATTAAGTGTTCATCGATGTTTTACAAGAACGAAAACCATTTTTTGCTTCGATCAATCGGTAATCAAGGATCAGACCTGGGGGGATTGTTTTCGTTCGCTCTTCAGCAATGGAGAGCCGAAGTTTGTGGTTGAAGGATAATTTTATTGACTCCCCACTTCTAATGATATTAATTATTATTGGGAAAAGTACATTGAACTAAGAGGGACTATGTTGAGAAATAATGTGTTTCTCCCCACCATTTGTGGCAATTTCCTCATCAGATTGGCTAATTTTTGGGATGTCCTCCTTAGTTTGCACTCTTTGTCTTAAAGAGATTTTTTTCTATTGTTGTCATTTTCATTTTTTCACATCTACACTTATGTACGTACGTAGGTGTATTTATGTATGTGCATGTGTACTTTGTTCGAGTGTAAAATGAAAATATGTATGAAATATGCAAAAACAAATAAACAGAAAAGAAAAAAAAAAAACAGAATAATTTTACGAAACATGAATTCGAAATAGTAGTGTTTAACGAATGAGTATTTCGTTTGCGATATCTTGATTATAATAAGATCAGAATACAATGTATGCAAAAAACAACATTAGTAACAAAACAAAGGAAAAAAAAGGTAATAATAGCAAAAAACATGCACACAACAAAACTATTTAAACAGTTTGTAACAAACACCTTAAAGGCATATATATGTATTTGTGTATGCACACATAAAATATACTCATGAAAATACTCTTGAGCACAAACACACATACATAATGAAAATGAAAAATTGATTAGAGAGAGAACGAATGCAAATATGAGCAAAACAAACAGGAACTAATGGTTTGGAAGAACAAAAACTAATGATGTAACATTAATTATACAACAAAGACATAAATGTTGGGGGGTTTCACATGGAAAAAATATGAATTTTTTTTGTTGCTATGGTTGCGATATTTTCTTTTCTTTTCTTTTTTTTTTTGTTTTACTATAAAACTTTTTAAACGCTAACAACCAACCATGAGGCGGATTTAAGTTTTCGGTTTTCGTTATTCGTTTTTCGTTCTTCGTTTTGTTGCTTGTATAAACCGAAACAGTGTAAAGTGTATTTATGAACGGCTTTATATGAAGTAATTTATACTAAAGCTACATATACACGCATACGCACACTTACATACACACACACTCACTTATACACATGTAACACAGACATTACCTTTTCAGTTAAGAAAAATATGATTGTTCCTGCTGCCGAGGTCTCGTTAGGGCAGAACAATGTTTTTCTGTTTTGTTCTTTAGAGCTTTAATTAATTATTAAATTAATTGTAACCAGTAGCAGTCAGTAGCAGTATAGAGGCAGTAATTTTTTAGTGGTAGTACTTGTGGTAGTAATAGTAATTAATGTGGTAGTAACGTTTAGTTATTTAAAATGTATTTTTTTTTTTTTTTTTAAGTAGTTGTCTTTAATATATTTAAGTTAAGTGCAATAGTTTTGTTTTATTGCCGTTTTTGTTTTGCCGAATTATTTAGGAAAATCTTACTATGGTTAAATACATTTTTTTTTATTAAAAACACATAATTACCCATTAATATTAAATAGAAACGTATTTATGTATTTAATTTCTCTTTTTTTTCAATTTTGTATATATTTTGGAGGATTTGGAAATTTTTGCTTTGCTTCGCTAACGCTCACATTAACAACATTATAGTTTAAGATATCGTTTGAAATTTTTTGAACTATCAGTATTCATGACATTACCAAATTCGTTTTTTCGAATATCGCCGATCACTCAGAGGACCATGAAGGAACAATGAAAGGGAAAGGCGTAGACTTTGTCGACTAAGCTTTCACTGTACCTACGACGAAAGTTATGCCCTTGTTCCTTTGGAGTTTGAATTCTCGACCCCTGACTTGGCAGTGGCAAGGTCATATTCATACAAACTGATGACGAATGGGACGTCATCATACAATTATCATTACCTAAGACAAACGGTTTGTTTAAAGGTTTTTAAAAGCTAATAATATTATTATTATTATTAGTTATGATATCAAATGCGATATCGCTTGCGGCATCGGTTAAGTGAAATAACGGTAGCACTGTTTGCTGACAAGTTTTTTTGTCTTAATTTTCTTAAATACTCTTCAAAATGGTCATAAGGTAATGATAGTGTTTGCTTATATGATATCGTAGGTGATATCTTACATAATATTGAAACTGTCAAAATGGTGGTAAATAAATTACTTGTACTTATTATCCTCTGGGAGATCCTTTTTTATGCTTTCTAAGATAATCTTATCATTTATGATATGATATAACGTAAGATTTCGGTAGGAATATTGGCAGGTTTGTCATGCGTAAAATCTGCTTTCAATTTTATTTATCGTATCCTTCTTCAAGTTTTTTATAACGTTTCTATTTTATTTATCAAATCCAGCAAAATATATATAAATTCAGGTAGCGGTTCCTTTTATTGTTTTTTCTTATATTATTTTCCGATTAACTGAAAACCGTTAAATTTTAGCAAGTAATGACTTGTAGTGACAGGCGGATGAATGGTGTGATTGTAGTTATAGTATAATTATTATTATTATTATTATTATTATTATTTTTTAATATTTATATTAATTTCCTTTTGAATTTAGTAAAACCTGCTAATAAGATATGAGTTTTTGTGTTTTGTAAAATTTCCATATCGACAGAGCCAAAAAATACAATGATATGTGTTTTGTAAGGATAGGACAGTAAAGAATTTCTTTAACAGGATCGTTTTTCGCCCCCAAAATGAAAACTTACCGCATTTAATAGACCAATAGTGGTAGGTGGCACAACATGTAGCGGGGTATAGACATCTTCGTTTTCTTGCCTTACATACAGCATCACACGTTCACTGGTGGGCGGTGTCATGCGGCCACGTTTCAATGCCGGGCCAAATTCATTCATACCTAAGCTTTGATCCAAAATATGGTCCTTTTTATCACTAAATATAGTTGAAATCGCAAAAAAGGAAAACAAGCAACCGCCATAAAGATATTAATATTTCATTTATTGTTTAGATGTCTATGTAAAAGAAAAACTAAATTGGGATGTTTACAATACACTTACGTCTGCATATCGGGCGGAAAATGATTGTGAAATTTCAAAGTCGGTGTGGCTACCTTTTGTCCATGCAATAAAAATGGTGATGCACCTTTTAGATCGGGCGCTCCATCAGTCTCATGGCCATAGAAGCCCTGTGAATTATGACCAAACGTTGCATTAGTTGTTGTTGTTGTCGTTGTTGTTGTACAATGTTCATTATCATATTGTTGTTGTTGTTGTTGTTGTTGTTGTGATGACAATGGTGATTGAGAGGATGGTTGGTGATGGTGGTGGCGGTGGTGGTTTTGGTGGTGGTTGTGGTGGTGATCATTATATGGATTATTAGTGTCGGTAGTAGTAGTAGTAGTAGAAGTAGTATTGGTATTGGTAGGTGAATTTAAAGTTGAGATATTATATGTTGTTGTTGTTTCAGTGTTGTTGCTTGCTAAAACGATTGTTGAATTCATGGCTATTCTTACCTTTTCCAAATCATCGGCTGGTGAAAATAAAACGGGCGGCTTTAATAAATCTTGCATAGAATAGAATTCCGAACGATCGGTAACTGGATGATAAAGTTCATCTAATTTTTTACGACCGGTGGCCGTCATTTTACGTTTAGCAGCGCGCCGCTCTTCGTCTCGTGTTTTACGTTCAGCACCCTTTTCAAAATAAAAGAAAAAACCACAAGAAAATGAGTGGAAACATATATATAAGAACTAAATAAAACAAATATAAAATGACTTGCAGTTGGGTTTAAATATCCAATCCAATTAAAACTTCATAGTCGAGCATGTCGACTGATAAGTATCCTGCACGACTTTGCCTATTATAATTCGTTCTTTATTCTTGTCATAAGATATCATAAATGTAATAGTCTTGCGAAAGACTTATTTATTTATTCTTCACTTAGTTTGGTCTAAAAATGTCTAAAATTCGAGTTTATTGCCATATAAAGCCTTACTCGACAAATTCTGATTTCGAAGCATTTAAAAGTTCTCCACTCGATTTAGATCTTTGACATCAATTTGGTTTGTCGAAATACCAATAGTCAATGATATCTACTTTGAAAATTGCAATATTTTTCCTATAACGAATTGTCTAAAATCAGTCGTTATATGGGGTGTGATCGCATGAATAATTCGATTCTATCCATTTTCAATACTGTTCGTCTTTGAGCCAAAATATGCCACTTTTCACTTATGCCAACTTTATCACTTATATCATCCAATTCTCGAAAATTGTTATTTGATTATAAATTGAAACACAAACAAACGGACAAACGGACATACATAATTAAATCGATTCCCAAAATGATTTTGTATCGATTGATGTAATAAAAGTTTGAATCCATGAGCTTAGTACACTTTTAACGTTGATAATGGTATAGCGTATAATGAGAGAATTGATAAAGAAAGACTTTAAAAGGTTTGCTTAACATTTTCCTGGATAAGTAACAGCACAGTTTAGTTCTCAGATTGCCAAAGTTTTTACTCATACGAAGCAAGGCATTTCTTATTTTTTGTCTATCTTGCTCAATTATAGTGGGATGGATATAAAAGAAACAAATTACCACCTGACATTCTGCTCACTTTCTTACTTAGTTCTAGTTACTGTATTTATTTTTTTTCCGATTGCTCACCAATTGTACGAAATTTCGGTAAGAGAAGATGCTTTTGCAAGGAATGAGAAAATAGTAGGAAAGTGAATGTTCTGCTTTAGTTGAAAATTGCAAACGTTCATATTTAAATGAGATTTGCTACAACAACTAATGTCGCAATCTCTTTTTCATGGGTGAACGCCAGTTATTTATCATGTCGCCCCTCGTAGAAGGTTATATTTTTAGATTTCTCTACTTTTTAGCATTACTGTCTATCAGTGCTCATGTTAAGTCACTGTCAACGTAACCGACATGATTTTTCTAACAATATTAAGAACAACAACAACAGCTAGTACAAAAATAACAGCAGCAACAATTAAAAGTTACATTTTTTTTCTCCTCGACTTTTTTTCCATTTTCCGCATAAAGCAGTTGTTTTCAGACGTTGCACGTCGGGAATGTATCCTTAATAATTACATGAGAATACTTTTTTAAAAACACACATACATACATATGCATGCAAACTTAGATCAGTGAACATTGTCTGACTGTTACTGGAAAAGTCTTAACGATTCCTCTAGCAGCTATATCAGCCAGTTTATCAGGCGGAAATGTTGATGATAAAAACAAAAAAATAGTTAAAACCAAAACAATAAAGAAAAAGCAAGAAAACTCAATATAATGTTTTAGTTTGTTTGTCTTCCGTGCTATCTCAGTTGTATGCATATACATATGCATGTGTGTGCATGCCTACGTATATTGATGTGGAGCAATCTAATCCATCTGCATAATGTTGCAATAAATCTCAGTTACAATCTTATACTACTCTGTGTTAAGCATTGAGCTTTTAATGTGGGTTCTTACGGTATGAAAAGGAAAAATAAAAAATAAATAAAATGAATAAAGAGAAAAGAATTGAAGCAACAAGTGCATGTGCATGCATATGCTGCAACGACTGCATGAAGCATGCGCCTGCATAATGATGATGACGGTGATGTCTCAATGACATGCTTTTACAATTATTAGGTGGTTTTTAGTGTACGATCGACCATTAAACAATGATCCATTTTCAAGACAAATCCTCTTGATATGCTATACCGACTAACCAATAAACAGTAACTGGCAGCTGTTTTTATCAGCAAGAAAGAAAATAAAGCAAATCGAAAAAACAAAATAGAAATAAAGATAAAAACGAAAAGAAAAAAATTTTGTTAAAAAGATAGAAAGAAAGAAAACTTTTTGCCTTTCCGTTTCTGATTCGTAAGGCGTTGGTGTTTTTGTAGTTGTTGTTGTTTGATTGTATTGAACTGATTTATAACTCATTATGTGTAAAGAAATAATGGCTTATGAAAAATTGCTAATGAAGCATCTCGGAAAGACAGCCATCATATACATGCGGACAGATAGACAGACAAGCAAGCAGCATATAAGCATAACTCAATTTAACTAGAAATTGTAAAATCAAAAGAGTGTGAAATGGCACACAAGCATACACATACACTCGCGCACACACAACTCATTGAAAATCTATCATATGTTATAAATTTTCATATGAAAAGAGATTTCAATTGATGTACGATCGTATTTGGTAAAAATATGTTACACAAAGTCTATGCCACATTACACTAAGCCACACCACACCTCACTGCACTGCACTGCACTGCATCACGATATTTACTACGGTAACAAACTTAAGCACACGCACATATATATTCTATATATATTAACGGTAAAAATGCTAATGCCATTATCTTTTAAATCATTAACTGAAAAATGAAAACTTCACATACAACGGAAGCATTCGCATTCGCTACCTATATAGAGGCATACGGGGCTATAAACAAATTCATTGATACATTCATTTACGTATATAGACACACAGAAACACATACACGCGCATACAAAGTGGATTGAGATACCGCACAATTCCTCTGCCGTAAGCGCAACAACTCTCATAAACTGTACATCCTGCGTCTTGTGCGAGTAATAGAAATGAACTGAGAAGCTTTATACAGACAATAAGTGTATGCAAGAAAAAAAAGAAAAAAGATAGAATAAGCGTGGATTTAATTTATTTATACGTTTATACGTATATTTTATTAAACACATTTCAAAATTTATAGCTGCATGCAATCGAAACCGATCGTAATAGATCTGACATGTATTTGCGGTTTGTGTTACAATATTTAACGTTCAGATATTGTCTTTTTTTTTGTTGTATTTTCATTTCCACTCACACGTGAAAGCTGAACGCGCTTTCTAAATCTACATCGAAACTTAGAAGGGGGCGTCTACTTTAGCCTGATCTTCAACAATGGATGCTCTATTTATTGCACGCATTACTTGCAAGTTGTATTTTTCGGTTACTATGGTCGCATAATAATTTTTATGGAGGCTGGCAACGAAACCAAAGTTGCTTTTTATAATTTTATAATTCTAGTATTCAATTGAAACTCCAATAACACCCACGATTTTTATGTTTATAACAGAGTAAGCTTGTTTTTGGAGAGCTGACTTTGCCAGCAGATCGCAAATCCGGAGCTACATCTATAACGCATTCATTAGCCTCCTGAAATTTAGCAATTACTTTATTTGTATCTTCGCCAGTACACAGTGATGGACAGTGGACCGTTACAGCAATGTTTATAAGGCAGCTTCAATGTGGATGAGAACCATTACAATGAGAGCTCGTTGCATAGTGCGTTTGGAGAAGAGATCTAGTCTATGCGGAGCAACTTTGTTCTCATGTTTTTGCAGAAAAATCACTTAGCAACGGATTCTTAATCACTACGCATTCTTAATTGTCTGCCACTTCGTCGATGGATGAAAATATTAAATTTTTATTATCGGAAAGTCCACCTGCTTATTAGATTTCGAGTCATCTCTTTCTTTTTTTTGCAAAATATCCACATAGAACAAGACGAAAAAGTGCGGGTTGTTGGGGAAAGGAAACGGGCGATGGGAAAAGAGTTGTTCAAGAAGAAAGACATTGCTTTTCAGGAGCCGGCACCTTTTCATCGCCTTTTGAATATAGTAAGGCTTAAAACTTTTTTTATCTAAATGTAGAAAAATGCGTATTATTCACTGGACGTAATAATGCCTTTGGTGAGCACTGAACTCGAAGCAATACTGCTCTCAGACCAGCTTAGCTTATGGACAAAGAGAAAGTTTTCAGTCGTCAGATTTCTGCTAATGCTTGGGTTGAACCTGCATTGTTTTAGCTTCGGGAAACGGACAAATAGACAGACGAATGTCAAAACATAATCCGATCAAAGCGCTTTCGCTAAGCAAGAGTCTATTAGATAGATGTTCGCAAGTGTGGAGCTATGCTTTTTTTTAAAGCCTTTATTTTCTTGCAATATTTATTCGCGTGTACACAGTCCATGACGCATTATAGTCGTTTCCTTCGAAATTTAATTTAACTTATGGGTTTCTTCATGTAGACTGACACATTTTAAAATTCGACGTATCAAAGTAAATTATGGTTCATTTTGAAGCTTAAACATTGCAGTTTTGTTCTGGACAAAACAACGTTAGAATGACCACCGCGGCTTGGAATGCACTGACGCACGTGGTGGTTCTATTTGTTAATCGGTCTTTAGTTTTTGTGTAGTTCGTCTTTCATCTTTTAAATATTTATAATTATTTTATTTCGTGTTGCTTACTTTTATACGTCTAAATGTCCAATTAAACGGAGTTAATTAAAAACGATTTGAATGATTATCTCTTTAAAAGCAAACAACTATCCATTAACCTCTCTTATGTGTTTCCTATTGTGATTAAAATTGTTTAGGCAAAAACAAAAAGATTTTTTTATTTCTTATTATTAAAATTTTATTTTTTATTTATTTATTTTTTTTTTTTTTTGTTATTTTTATAATTTAACCAATTTTCCAAAAATTAAGAAAAACAAAACAAACAACGACAATTACATGAACAAATAAATAAATAAAATACACACATATTACGCATAGACACAATTGCAACAACATATGACCCCGTGTATGATCTTTAATAAACAAAACAACATAGAGCACAACACATGTACACAGGTGCTTATAG